CTCTCTCTCTGTGTGTGTGTGTGTGTGTGTGTGTGTGTGTGTGTGTGTGTGTGTGAAAGAGAGAGAGAGAGAGAGAGAGAGAGAAACCTTGAAGATATTATGCTTAGTGAAATAAGCCCACTGTGAACTGCTGTGTGAACCTCTTTTAGGAGGTTCCTAGAACAGCCAAACCTGCTGAGACAGAAAGTAGAACAGTGGTTGCCAGGTGGGAGGGCTGGTGGGAGGCTGTTGTTTAACAGACATGAGAAACTTCTAGAGAGCACAGGGCACTTGCCTGTAATCCTACCACTCGAGGGGCAACGCAGAGGGATCACCAGAGTGAGTCTATCCTGGGCTCTAGTATGAGTCCTAGAGATTGTTTGACAACAATGTAAACAATTGCTTCAAAGGGGTCTTAGGATACTCTGCATGTATCACAGCAGATTTTAAGGAAACAAAAAGTGATATGTGAGGGAGGCAGGAAATAGCTGCCTTCTCTCCTCTGGTTCTGGTGCTCTCTCTCTCTTGTCTATTCGGTTCAGCTGCACAGTGGTTCCATGGGTGGTCTGTGTCTAGTATACACAATGGTTATGCCTAATATACTCCCAGAAACAGCAAGCAGCGAACAGTGCCTGTTCTCCAGAAGCAACTTGTAGGCATGTCCAAACTTACAACATTGCAATGTGACATTGTCATCTAAAGGTCACACCTGAAACTCACATAATTAGTAAACCCCTCCCCCCCCAAAACACAACAACAACAACAAAAATCTAGTAAGGTTTTAGTGTTAGGCCACATTGTGTAGCTGTCCTCAGGCGCAGGTTGGACACTCTGAAAGGTTTGAACAAGGTCCTACACAGACACAGACATGCTAACAGTAGGAAATGGGCCTTGGCGGTGCTTCGCCTGGGACTTTAAAACATCATAATTTCTGCTGAGCTATGTTATGCAGGAAAGCAGTATCAGCACAGTGCATACCAAATGATTCAAAATAAATGCATCCTCCTTGAACAAAATACCTAGTGTGAAATTCTCAAAGAATAAATTGTTTTGTTTCTAAGAAGGCCAACTAGTTTTAACTGCCAAGTATGCTAGACAGGTAAAGTCTTAAAAATCATGTGAAGAGCTGGTACAGCTGTTGAAGATTCCAGCTGATTCAGGAATCTATTCTACTTGATGAAGAAATGAGGGGATGTGGCTGTGGCCAGGAACCTGGTCACAGCCCGGCATACTGGAGTCAGCTGACAGGTCTCCTTCCCCTCTTGTTCTGTCTGTGAGCATCTTCAAAATCAACCTCAGCTCAACACGGCAGTTCACCTGCAATCCCAGCACTTGGGAGGCAGAGGCAGGAGGATTTTGACCTGGATGCCAGCCTGTTCCACATAACAAGACCCTGAACTAATGAAAAAAGAAAAAAACAAAGCAACCGTCCAAGAATTGTTTCGCTCCTTTGTACCTAAGACAGTACAAAGCATGATGAGTCCACAATGCTGGCAAGCACAGCTTTAATATTTCATGCTAATTCCTACTCTCCTTGAAGCTGTTGTGACAACAGGCAGGAACACAAATTAGGACCCGGTCATCCTCAGCTGTCAGTCTGTCCTGGGGCCTATTTGTAGGTCCATCTGCTTCCCAGGATGTGACCTCTCAGAGGGCTATCTAATATTCTTCTGTAACTTATACCCTAGCATACTGTACAAGACAGAGTAGTGCTAACAGTCAAGAGCCTGTGCCTTGAAAAGTCATCGTCAGAGGTTGAATCCTGATCCTTCCCACTTACTATGTGACTGTGGTCAAATTCCTCACCTGTAGCAGGGATGACAATTCTGAGCAGTTCATGGACTATAGAAGAATGCAAAGCTTACAGTCAGAGCCAGGCACCCAGGACTCTGGAACTATAGTTTTTTTAAGCGTTTTACGTCTGCGCGTAAAATACAGCTAAAACTGTAAATAACACATCGCCGAAATAGGTCTAAATTCTTGCCAGAAAACTTCGTTGATCCTCTGGTGACTGGCACCTCACCTCTGACAAGCTCCAAGCTGCAGCCTAGAGACAGGCTAGGTGAGGGCGGGGCTCCGGCCCAAGGGGCGGAGTCCGACGGGCGAGTCGCGCTGAGCGCAAGGGGCGGGGCTTTCGTGCGCAGGTCACGTGAGCCGCTGTTGACACTTCCGGGTGGGACGAGAGTGAGGCGGCGGACTGGTTGGTCTGCTGAGGTACAGGCATGGCGTACCACGGCCTCACTGTGCCTCTGATCGTGATGAGTGTTTTCTGGGGCTTCGTGGGCCTTCTCGTGCCCTGGTTTATCCCCAAGGGTCCTAACCGGGGGTAAGTACGCCAGAACCGAGGCGGTGGGAGCGGAGGGGCGCGGCGGGAGGATCACAGAGGGAAGGGTCGCGCGTGGAGGACTACAGCGGGAGGATGAGTGGGGTGGACCACAGAGGGAAGGACCGCATGCGCTCCTGGGAGCCTGCCAATGTCCCTGACCGGAACGTGAGGTCACCTCTGGCAGCCCCTCCCGGAAGTGATTTTTAGGGAATGCTTTGTCTTGATGGACCGAAGGCGTGCGCATCGACTGCGGAGAAGTTAAGGTGTCTCCCGAGCCATTCTCACGGCCTCGGTCCTGTCTTTCACGCACTGGAGGCTTTTTGCCCAAACTTCAAAGAAAGGGGTCTGAGAAATCGCCCTCTCTGTCCCCGATGCTATCGCAGTTGCGGACTCTGACAAGCTTGCTTGTGTTGAGCTCAGCCTTTGCATCCAGTGAGCCCAACCCTGGAGAGGGTGAGCCTGATCTAAGCGAGGTTAAATCACCCAGAGCCAAAGGTATTGTTTAGAAACCTCTGCGTCATACCTTCCAGGGTGCTCCTGCAGTGGTTGGCCAAGATAGATTTGCATTCCCTCACCCAAGGTTTTGCTAAATATCGCTTTCTTTGTTTGGAAATAAACTTCTGTATTATAGTATAAAACAGACCTCTTCAGAGCAGCATGGGGACACCCTCTTTTCTAGTTCCTCTTTTGAATTTCAGTCATTTTTTTTCCATTTCAACTC